TATTTGAATTTTTGATATAAATTACTTTTTAATTAAATTTAAAAAAAAAAAACTTTGTTTATAATACGTATCCTATCAAAACTAGAAAGAATGCTCAAGACAGCATATAGCAAGAAAATTAAAAACTAAGTGATAGATTTATAATATTATAATTGGGGTATTTGAAAACCCCACTGTATTAATGTTTTGTCACTGCCCTTGTACATGTAACGGAAGATCAAACTTCAAGTCTATTTCGTAAGAGAACAAATAGCTCACTTTGAAATATTCATTTTTCTACTTACTTTACAAGAGGAATTTTATTACTGTGTATTGATTTATTCTGATTCGTGTCGTCATGGTTGCTATAATTAGACATTTGGTTTGTAACTTTCCTGAGATTTCAAACCAAAAGCCATTCTTCAATCCAATTGATGGTTCTAATTCCGTTGTTCGTGCGAAAAGAAATTTCGTATCAATTCTTCCTGTTTGGCTGGTCTTTGGGATGTTATTGGTTCCTTTCTCAGAACCAAATTCTATATTACTTCATTTTGCATTACCAAACCAGCGGATTAAACTCCGGATGACATAAGATTTGCTTAACAAACACTATAATCCACTGTAGATCATTAAACCAAATATCACTTGTTTGAACCATCAAATGAAACAGATTTCGTATTTCTGTCTGAATTTCTGGCATAAGGAGTTATCATTATTTACACTATTTAAATTCAGATTATTGTCCTCATTTTGTTATCACAACGTTATGCCCTTTGGCTTTCATCAGGTATATATCGATCTGGGTAACCTGCAGGATTTAATTCGAAATTCCCTGTACGCTTTCTGGATTGATATACACCTGATGAAGACCGGAGTGCACAACGACCGAAACGTTACGATAACAACAAAAAAATAAGGACAATAGTTAGAATGTAAATAGTGCACATTATATGTATTTGACATGGAGGGCAATTGAGTAATGACATTTTTGAGTCTTTGGGTTTAATGTTCTTTGTTTACTGATGAAAAGCTTTCAAATGTTTTGATACCAACAACCAAGATGAAGACACTACAATGTATTGTAAAATTATCCGTTTTCTTATAAGGAAACATTCGACATTTATTGATTGAGTAGCTAGTGCTACTTTTGGTTGAAATTTATAAAATCTTATGAAAATGATTTTTCCTGAAAGTAGGTTTCTCAAGTTCAGTAATGCTTATCGCCGTTTCTTGTATTGATAGGAGTTTCGTTCCTAAACCTTTGTTTGAAGTAGTGTGTAAAATCTATATCTTGAGTATGTTGTTATTTTTCCTTCGAATTACACGTGCTATCTATTTCAGTTGTTGTTGTTTAAAGTCCACAAGTGGTGTGGTTTTTGTCATTTGATACAGTGTTTTGTTTATAATTTTGTAGCGTCAGTCCCCATGGTTCGAAGAAGGGTAGTCTTCACCAAAATTCATAGACTTCATTCCCTCGAAGCTATTTGTAACCATTGATCTGAGAAAGGCGTTTGTATATAACTGACATGTATTTCTGAACGAGTTTAACGTCATGCATAACATCCATATGAAAGTCTCCAACTAATCTTACTATTGCAGAACATAACTGTTTGGATTTTCATTTAATGTTTGGATTATGCAGCGTAATTGCCGTATTGAAAAAAAAAACAACCTTAGCAAAGCTTAATCTATGTTCAATTTCCTTATATCCTGTATTATTTTTGTAACTGATCAATAAACCGATGTATCTGTAGTTTCTAGAATTTACTAATTCGAGATTCTGAATTTTTATGACAGATTCAACCTACATAAAATTACTGCTTTTATTCCAGTTGCGGATAGTTTGTTTTAGAAAGGTTCAACTTGAGCCCTGTTTTTAAAATAGTTGATTGGTCATTTTTTTTTCTTCAAGATCAAGATTATTATTACTTTGTGATTTATGAATGTATTTCCTGATATTCACCTTCTCTGGGAAATAAAATTCATTCACATATTTCGCTATAAATATGCATTATCTTGTATTGTAGTAGTTCGATTTTCATAAGAACATCGACCCTCTTGTGACTTTTGCTTTTCTGCTACCTTCAGATTGACTTATGTTTGTTTGTTCACTTGGAATGCGTCGTCTTGAAGAGGGTTTTCTTTTTCTGTCAATTTTATCGTGAAAGAGGAGATGAATTTATGGGTGAGGAAATTTCCTCACAAAGGAAGTAAGTGCAACCAGCTCGCACAAAAATGGGCTAATAACATCCGACGATGCTATTTGGGGGCGCACTAAAGACAGGTTTATTGACAATGAATACATCGAAATAGACCCCCAAAATAAAATAGAAGGTAAACAAAGAATGAGAGAATATGAATGGTTATATACATAGATGTGTGTGTGTTTGTAATGTGAGCACGCAGAGAGACTCATATCTCCACTTGCATATTCTCTGAATTTAAAGATATGTACATATGCACTTTGCTCAATGTCCATGTTCTGGATGTATATGAGTATATATAATATCTAATATATAACCTCTGCTTCTGTCTGTTTAAGGCAATATCGTTATATAAATATATGGTTGCGACTATTATCTTTCAGTATATCGCATATATAAATATGTGTACGTTTATATATAAATACATGATAAAAGTGCATATATTTCTGTTTCCATGTGTATTTCTGCGTACATATTTTAGTTTAACTCGATCTGTATCTTCGATCATATATATATATATATATATATATATATATATATATATATATATATATATATATATATATATATATGTGGTTGTGCACCGAAAGATTTTCAGCCCAACCAAGGACACTTGTGAAAATTTGGTTAAATTGTACACCGTGTCGACCCAGAACATTTCACGACACACTCGTCTATATGTTATTCGTGTATGCATATATATGTTTGTTTGTACTATATTTTAACCCATACATTATGTACGCAATGTGTTCATGGAAACACAAAGGAGTACATATATATATATATATTATATGTGTGTGTGTATTTATTATCCCTCTAAGATGGTCAATATGGAGAAAATTTGTTTCATAGAGAAGTTGTCTGATGGTGACTGTAAGGGAAAATAGTTGAAAAAAAGTGATTGAAATGATTGGGACAGTGATTTTCTCGCTAAGTTAGACGGTCCGACAGAAATTACTAACCCTGTTGGGATTGCTATGAGTTTGAATTTGTTATCAGAAGGTTTTTATATTAAGATGGTTAGTTTACGGGCATGTTCACCATATTAATCCACAACAATATAGAATATAGACATTCAAAAACGAATCAATCACAAGGCAATCGAGTAAGAAACACCGATTATGAGATTTCAATAAAACAACATGCATTTATGTACAATTAATATACAATTTGAAAACTTGTAGTTTGATAATGCAAGAAATTGACCATTGATAAATTGGGTTTCTTATTGATTTACAGTTCAAAATTGTTCAAGTGTTTATGAATTGGTCAAATATAGTTAAGTGGAAAATTTTATTTATACAGAATCTTGTGTAGTTTGTATGCGTGAATAAAGTCGGAGTTAAATTGTCTAAATTCTCCAGAGTTGTTTACCTTTGATTGCTTAGATATTTGATTGAATATTTACGAATACTTGAATTGTTTAGATATTTGATTGAATATTTACCAATACTTGGATTGTTTAGATATTTGATTGAATATTTACCAATACTTGGATTGTTTAGATATTTGATTGAATATTTACCAATACTTGGATTGTTTAGATATTTGATTGAATATTTACCAATACTTGGATTGTTTAGATATTTGATTGAATATTTACGAATATTTGTTAGTAGTGAGTTATTATCACTTTTTAGTATTGTAAGAAATTGTTCCTGGTAGAGCGAAATGCTGCGTGTGTTGAGTCAGAGAAATTTGCGCGGCAAAAATGTAGCTGGTTATGATTTTGACTGGCGTGGATTCGTTTGGCACTTCTTCAGGTTGAAATTCTGACTGCCTTGAATCGATCTGAACGCTTCCTTTTATTTAGTTCTGGAAGTAGGAATCGGCGCGAAAAGATATTTTCGCGTGAATTTGCTACAGTTTGAGCCAATGAAAAGTCTAGTTCTCTGGAACTAGGGTGTTGATTGGTTAAAAGGTAATTTTGCGGTAGAGTGTATTATTCCGGAGGGGTGAAAAGGTATATATGGACTATTCCATCAACCCTATTCCCATTGTTCCCTCTTTTTTGACATGCAACATATTTAAGGCACATATCCATCAATAAATATTAGTATGAAGAAATCTTTTCGAGGGATAAAACATGTGATGTTGTAGTACTTCCCATTTATTTGATTGATTGGTTTTTTACGGCTTATCAACCCTTTTAATGTTATTTAAAGCGTAAATATATTTTTGTAAGATATATGATTGTAAGAATTTTATTTCTTGGAAATAATAATTTTCTGATACAAGTCTTACTATTTAACCCATGAGCTGAGAGGAGAAGAGGTAGATTCATAACTTTCCCAAGGTATTTGCACATAAGTGAATCTTATATAGGAATAAAATGTCGCTAAGAAAACACAATCGATCCCATTATTATATTAAGTAGACCACGTGACCATAGAGGAAACACATAAGTAGGAGGTTGCGTGATGTCTAATTGATCGTCATTTCTAGTCTATCCTCTGTTACTATTCGGATCGCTATTTCTACACTCTTCTCTTCTCTACACTATCCTCTATTCGGATCAATACGGTGGTTACTTTTCGAGCGAGTATTATCGATCAAGTACTACTAGTGCAAATGATATTCGAAGGCGTCTGACACTAACATTGTTCAACAGAGTACTATAGTTGTATCTACGATTACAAAGTCTCTACTACAACGAGCTTACGAAAGTGACAACGAGTATTTGTTGTCATTACAAAAGTGGCAACGAGTGTTCGTTGACATCAAAAAGTGAATATAACGAATACTACTGGAAATCGAACTCGGCTATTCGACTTCTCAATCCGAGCCATTATCTATTATACCACCTGAAAATCCAAGCTTACAGCACCTGGTATTCCCGAACATTTACCCATCTAGGTTCTAACCAGTCTCGGCGTTGCTTAACTTCGGTGATCGGATGAAAACCGGTGTTCCGATTCGGCATAGATGTAAGCCTCTTTCCATTTTGTCATTCAATTACCCACTGTTCGTTTGATATGTGGATTAGTATATCATATCTTCTACAATAATATAAAATGATATAATTGTCTGTCACGCAATTGGATCTTCTTAGTAATGACATATTCCGTTGTTATGTTAACAGGTGATATTTCTCGACGCCAATAACTGCTTCGGTTTATGATAATAATTGATATTTTAGGGTTATATATATATATATATATATATATATATATATATATATATATATATAATTTTAAATGGTGTCAGACATTTTTTGCATGCGAAGATAAAATTAATTGTAGAGATTAAAAAAATGCCGAAATATAAAATATAATTTGACTTTATATACTCATCGGTCACACAGCCGGGTTTTAGTTTCTTACTGATGAGATATTATGTTATTATGGTAACATGCGGTATGTCCGTATGCCAATAAGCGAACATGTTTCATGTTATAACAATGGGATATTTCATTAGAAAGTAAGTGAGATTTAGATGTTAATAGATTTGTTTTGTGTAAGATATTTCAGAAGGTGGACTTTTTCCTTTTTTTTTTTTTTTTACTTTTAATGATTTCAAAAACCTTTTTTTGTTGCATGCGACAATAAAGTTGGTTACTCATGCAGAAATAATAACCAACAGCAAAATATCGCAGTAATTATTTGACGGTTACAATAAACTAGTTGTGTAATAAAAGGCATAATGTTATTTTCCAGCAGTACTGAAGTTTTTTCTTCATATCTGCAAGGTTTCTTTACTTCCTATTGCTTCTCTGAGAACCATTTCCTTTCTAATCATTCGAAGTCTCCCTCACGATCACCAAAAAAAAAAATTAAATTTTGTGTCTATTTGTAATATGAGTAACTTGGCAAACTGGAATTGTGGAAGCTGAGAGCCAATAATTTTAGTAACCAAATTAGGCACACAAAAAGCGACGAAAGTAGCATGGAACGTTGAAGGGGGAAAAAACGTATTTAAAAAAAAAAAAAGCATCGATCAGGACGAAATAGGACAGAAGAGAGAAGAGTATATAAATGGTATGACGATTCCGGACCAAGAGTGAGTGAAATGTAGAACTCTTTGGACCAGATTGTACGGTCTGATTAAGTAAGCTATATGTTCATGGCTGCTTACCAGTTGGAATCCTGCCCTTTTCCATCACTGCGCTAGATAATAAGCCTAATCGACTGCTTGTGGAAGCCTTTTGTCAATCTACATTCGCCAAACTTTTCGAAAGAACTTAATAAAACAAGTAAATAAACAAAATGCATAGAGTAAGAATTGGATTAAAAATAGATCAACCCAGGCTTCTTTCTGATCTGCCTAGGATTCCTTCCTCTAATCAAATGAATTGATAAGGTGCGCATTTTGTCGCCGTTTTTTCTTTATGTACCATCTTCAGGACTTTGGCTGTTTTTCCATGTTCTTTTGATGCTTTGAGTAACATTTGACCCTTTACCAACCGTTTTTTGTCCTCGTCTTGCTAGCTATTCACATAAAGTAGGTTGCTCGCTGCTTCCCGTTGAAACATCGGTTCCTGTACGATCACCGAAGTTAAGCAACGTCGAGTCTGGTCAGTATCTTGATGGGTGACCGCTTGGGAATACAAGATGCTGTAAGCTTGGATATACGGGTGGTGTAATAGATAATGGCACGGAATTGTTAATCGAAGAGTTTAGTTCATATTTCAGTTGGATTCGTTATAATTTACGCGCAAATAATCTTTGAAAAGGTATTAATCCACCTCTTTAGTAACACTTGTATAACTAAAATCATTATCATCTAAAAAAAAAAAAAGAAAAATTTTCTTACAATCTCAAAATATTGTCTGGCTTTAAATAAAATTCAAAGGATTCATCAGCCGTCGAAAACGAATCCGTTAATCAATCGCTGCCTTCCCTGCTTTTCTTGCCTTCACTACATCCTCTGAGTGTTAAATTCGCCAGGCTATCTTTCCTCAGAAATGTCATATTTCTCTCTTAAATATGTTGGCTTTTTTTTTTTTTTTGGTTTTTTTTTTTATTTGTTTTATATTTAACCTTCCTTGTTTCTAACACGTTATTTCCATGATATTCTCAACCGTTGTCTACAGAAATGTAATTCTGTTGCTTCTAGCCTATTTTCATCTCTTTGGAAATTGTCTAAAATTCACTGCTATATAGTAGTATTGATATTACATAACAGTTCAGCACTCTTTTCTTTGTTTCTAGCGAAATATTTTCCATGTCTTAATACTTTGCTTACATTTTGGAAGGCAACTTTCGTAATTCAAATTTGCCAACTGGTCACGGTGTCACACTTTCAGGGGAATTTGGAAAAGGGGCATAATCCCTGGTAAGCATTTACCTATGACGTAAGCAGTTTCAAACTTTATACGTGTAAATAAAACTTAAATAGAGATAAGCGCTTTAAGAAATCAGTGATCGATTGGGCACTGTCTTTATATAATAAACAGGAAACCTAAAATGATAAAACAAATCGATATTTTTCTATTCTGCCAAATATCATGGTTTGAAGGCAGCCTGTTGAATGCTAATCTACAAAATATATTTCCTATTAACAATACCCATGAAAATTTCACGATTTTCCTAGTTTAATTTTTGGATGAATCCACATTCTGTAATTGGTAATGCAATAAGCTCCTTGCGAGTTCCGTGACTATAAAATACCCTTGGGAATTCTCCTATTGCCTCGATAAGTGTTTGACCTTAAAAAGTTCAGTAGAATATTACAGTAACAATTATAATGATGAATGCATGTCATTATGTAAAGTAAGAGGGCGCAAATGAAAATATTAAAAATTGACTGGGTTTTCCATTTTACAGAAGCAGATTTAAACACATGAATAATATCGCTTCCTCGACCATGCCATTCTTTCTTTCCCTCACTCAAACAAAACGACGCCTCTGATATATATTTTCATTCGTTTTGTGGGAAGGGTACATGTAAGGTATTGCAGGTTTATCCTCGCAAAGAAATAAAAATGGTCTATTGTTTATCTGAGGTAATGGCAGTGTGTAACGTATACGCTAACTAAGGAAAAAACGTAATTGTAATAGAATGTTTTTCTTACGAGCAGATCAGTCAAGTTCAACATTGTCCTAGTTTAATTATAACAGGATCACCGGAGATGATCCCAAGAATTGAAATCGGCTAATGGAGTTCGACTTCGATCTAAAGTTGTTGGTATTTTTTATTTCGCACTTCTATCAGTAGGTCACGTTATAGATTATTACTGGCTGATTGTACTATTTAACCCTATAAAACGATTTGCATAATACTTGACGAAAAGATGACCACAGCCAAGTAATCCTAAATGACCCGATAAATGCAATGAAGGACCCAGTATCGTATCTAGATATACTGCTCAATCACGCGATGATTTGGTTCAATTAGAACAGTGGTTTTCCAATCTTTCTTTAACCTCATCAATTTATCGACTTATGAATGTACGCGACAACTGGATCTAAGTTTAATTCCAGGTTTCACTGATTAAAAAAAATAGAATAAAATAAACAAATCCAATAATTTGATCTTTTAGTAAATTTTGGCGATTAGTACTGAAAACTCTGAGACTGTTTTCAAAGACAAAATTTGGTAAATTCGTCATCAGCTAACGATTTATCTAAATGCTGGCACACTACGCTCTTCGCCATGAAACAGTTTGACATGCCAATGACTCGGTTTTTCTTGTCAAAAGACAGGGTTAATTCCCACCTTTTTAAAGGTGAAATGAATACAAACATCTAAAGTTCGAATCTGATTCTTTTTTCTGTGTCGATAACCGTCACATCATCCTGCACGTCATAGCTATGCAATGCCTGATAAACAAATTATTACCTTTTCAACCCATGAATTATTTGATCTAGTATCCTCATCTATTTCGTTGTGATCATTATGTTCATATTTAGATTTTTGTGAGCTTTATATCGTAATGTTATATGGACATGGAAATATCAGAAAAACATGTTTGTTTTTTTTATCCTTAAACAGTTGTCAATTACCTATAAATATATTATCTCTGGTTACTTTTATTTTTAATGTTTTGAAATATTAAATATAAGCTTTATTTACAAAATAGATGCTTCTTTATCTTTATTTATTTCTTGGATGCTACTGTCCCTTCCCATCAATAGAGTTGTATATTGTTTCTCACTCGTATACTCTGACTTTTTTTGATTATTGACTCTTCTGCTATATTCCTGCCGCAGGCGTCTCTGATATTAGCATTGCCGGGTGCGTGGCTCAAGCGGGAACTTACCATGGTCTGAGTGGGCGGAAGAAGAACTATCTTCAACCAAAAATATATGAGAGGGCGAAAAATCCTGCGCAAGGCCAGTGTCCAAAGTTAACCGTCCCAGGTACTACTGAACACGGAAGCACCACAAACACAATTCCTTCCACCCCCACTTTCACCCAGACTCATTGTGCAATTATGACTTTACCTTACCTTACCTTAGATCATTCTTATTGATTTGGAAGAATTTATAGTGTGCTGAAGAGGCGCAAAAGGCAGATCTCCAAGAAGAATGCATTATCTTCCTCTCTCTCATAGAGACACACACACATATATAAATAAAGTAGCGGATTTGGTGTGTATATATATATATATATATATTTCACGGCTCGACTTAATTCCCAAAATCAATAACTCAATGACCAGATATCAGATATTAATGATGTGTAAGTAGGTCGAATAGACAAATTTTCAGCCCCACCTACTCGTGTAAGATATATATATATATATTCGACGTATGAGGGCTAAGCGGCTCAGTTCCTAGAAGCCGACACCCAAACACCAGAACATAGATTTGATTATAGTGGCGAAGGTTTTGTGCAGAACCAACCACACTTTTTGAAGAGCTGGTGCACCGATCCTTCTCAGGTTTTGAATTCAGAGTAACTAAAAATAGAAAGACATCACATCGTTGTTGATTCATGAAAAGTGCGCCACTAGTGGCAAAATGGTAAACGAGCACTGGAAAT